TGATCCACATGGTGCTGCAGACCTCTCCTGCCTCGCCCATAGTGTATTTCAGTAGATCTGCCTGTTCTGCTCCCCACTCTGGTGAATTCTCGCCCCCCCCCACTTCTGGCCTACACCCCAGCTCTTGTATGCATAAATAAATAAATATTAAACAAAAAAGAGGTGGGTGGGGACTTCCCAAAAGTTGCCCCATTGTGAGAAGGGAGATATTTTCCTAGGATCAGGAATATGAGGATGCCAATGAAGGAGGGAAAGTTTCCAGACCACCGTGGGAAGTGTGGTTAGAAGTGTGTTATGGAGAAGGAAGTGGGAAGAGATGATGGGAAACAACTTAATCTTTGGGGTTCTGGAAATCAGAGTCTTTGGCCAGATGAAAATCCAATTCCTAAAGCTCCAACTATTTTAAGAAAAAAACAAAACAAAACACAGAAGGGTCTGGGCCCTAACTCCAGCCCTATCCCGTTCTGGTGTTTTATATTTGGAGACAAGTCGGAAGGCCTTCTGCTGATTGGTCATTAATCCACTGAGTTATTGTCTGCTAAACAGAGGTCACTGGGAGAGAGACATCCAATCTGTCAGGAGAGGCCTGGCCATCAGCGAAGAGGGCTGGACCCTACTCCTCTCTTGCTGGCTTCTCCCTCCCTTCCCAGCAATGCCCACCACCCTCACCCCAGCCCTCCAAGATGGTCTGCTCTCCCTTGCCTTCTCCACTCAGCCCACCTTCAGCTCATCCTGCCTGAGTACAACTACCTTCAGCTTCTAGATGAGGCAACCGATTCAGAAAGCCTTATCTGCCAACCAGGACCCCCTGCGGGACTCCAGACTTGGGCGGGCGGTGACACTGCTGGGCTGGCCTGGCCGATGTGGTCAGGAGACCTCCGTGGTCATGGAGTAGACTTTGCAAAACCCTTGTGGCTGGCCAGCTCTTCCCCGACCTCTCTCTTGTGCCCTTGTGATGACTGGGGTGGGAAAGAGAGGACAGCTTGGGCAATTCTTCTCCAACCACAGACGCTTTCTTCTTCCTTTTTGATCCCGGATCCTGGCTTCTGCTGAGCCGGGTCTGCAGGGCTGCAGAGGTGCTGAGTCTTTTTCCCGCCGCCCTTTGTTCCCTCTGGCTCCGTGCATCAGAAGTCCAAATACCCCAACCCTCCTCAGTAGCAACTCGCTACTATTTTACAACCCCCGTGTTGAACACTTACTCGTATTTAAGAAAAGGTGGAGAATTGGGAGCAAAGGTGAACTTTCCATGACTCTGTCGTGGCCCAAAAGTTGGACAGTGAAGCTGGAAGTGTTTGGATTTGGAACCCAGGCAGGACCAGAAAGAAACTTTTAATTGAAAGCTCGCTCATAGTTTTCAGCTTGGAAGCCAGCCCATAGGTCAGGCAAATATGGGACTGGCTGAGTTGGGGTAGACCCTAGGTCCCCCCAAGCTGTGATCAGAAATCCATTTTAAAAGAGGAGAATGTTCTTCTCTTTTTTCCTTGTTCTTCTTGAGAGGGGGATTTTCATTTACTTTCTGATGGATGTTGGGGGGGTGGTGGAGGGAGGCAAACAGACATGATTTCCTCTCTGGGTCTTGAAAGGTGGGCAGCCAGTGATGTCTCAGGGGGGCTCCTGTCCTCTGATACTAGGCACAGAGTAAGTGGTGGGGGAGAGGTGCCCACCCGAAAGCACTCTGGTTCTGCAGCGGAAACAATTGAGAAGAAAGAATGACTATGAACGGAGACATTTGCTCTAATTTTTGCTTTTATTATTAATTCCTGCCTTTATTAGGTTACACTAAGATCTCTGTATCTAAATCTCTTTCCTAATTTTTCTTTTATAATTTCCCCTTCACACAAACACACAGACACACAAAGTTGCCCAAGTTTTCCTTAATTCCAGGAAGAAATTATCTTCTCTTCCTTCTATAATCTGCCCCTAAATACTGAGCTGAGAATGATAAATCCTTCTCTCCCCCCCCTTTTCCAGACCCTAAAATCTTCCCTTAGACCCACCTATGTCTCCACTGTAAGTTTCCTGCTCACCCTCATTGCTACCCAGCCTTTGTCCCCTGGAGCTTGGGAGGGCTCCTAACCTGCACTAACACTTCAAGGGAAATGGGTTCCCTGGAGGAGGAATACTTATTCTACCATCTACCTCTACCCTCCCAGCTCCAATCTGTAGCAACCAGTCAGCCATAAATCACCAAGATAGGAAGAAAAAGGCAAGGAAAAAACTAAAGGTAGACTCTCATTGCCTTCCAAACGTTTCAAATAGATTCTACTCACCAGAATTAGTTAAGTAACTCTAACTCTATATCCTACCACGGTTGGGGGGTGCATAGCCTCTGAATTTTCCCCTCCAAGTTAGCTTTCTTGCTCTCCAGTCCTCTTTGCTCCCACCCCGCTGCACCCCACCTTATTGTGTAGCCAGAGAGAACACAGAGAGTTCTTGGAGGCTCTGGGATGGAGGTGAGGGGTCTGCCGCTCTTGGGAACCTCCACCGGTGCTCAGCACTAGGCCTGAGTATCCCACAGCCCCTCCTTACAGGGTACAGATGTCTGGGTGCCCTCGGGGCTCTCTTTTTATTCCCCAAGGCACAGCTGTGCAGCCCCATCATCTCTTGACTTCACTAGCTAGTGGTAGTAATAGCTATGTGAGCTGCAGGGCCCTGTATATGCATCTTGACTTTTTTATTTGGGGGACTGAGAGACCAGCCCAAAGTGGCTGGTTTCCTTAAACCTCTGGAAGTCTCCCTAGTTGAGAGATGGTAGTCCAGAAAGCCCAGCACTACACAGGGGACCTTGTAGCACTCTAACCAGAGTCTAGAGAGCTCAGGACACACACCTGCAGCCGCAAACTGAGGCAGTCCTCTCAGTTAGTTGTCTCTGAGAGTCCTGACTTATGCCCCATCACCGGACCTGGCCTGGACATCATTTCATGATACAGCTGAAAAACAGAAAAAAGTGGCTCCGACCCCTCACTCCCCACTCATCCCCTTGGCTATGAACACTCTTGGCAGGCAGCAGGATCCTTAGGCATCACAGCAAGAGAGGCTATTTGTGGGGTCCTATTGCTGGAGGGTAGGGAGAAAGTAGGTCTCCCCCTCAGCTGGGCCCCAGGGAAACTGGTTTCTCCAGTCTATGAAGGGGGCCTGGAAGAAATGAGGGCTGGGGTGGGCTGATGGGGACCACTCCCTGTGAGAGCAAGCCAAAGCAGAGCCTGTAAGGGGGTGTGAGGGAAGCCTTGCCAGACATAGCCACCCTCTTCTGGGCGAAGAGGACAGTTGGAAACCATCTCTCACCTTTGTTCTCCCAGTCCCATCTCCAGATGCATCCAAATGGGAGCCCACAAAAGCCAAGGACTCTAACCAGGAAGCCAGAGTAGGGGGTACCTCCTGCCTACTCCAAGTTAAGAGAACAAGTTTGCTGATCTGCCTTTGTAAAAAAAAAAAAAAAAGAGAGAGAGAGAGAGAGAGCTTTCTATTTCATCCACTAAGCCCCGAGTCAGCAGCTAGGCAGAGCTGCAAACACTCCAACTTTTGGAAAGATCCTGGTGCTTTTTTTGTCTTTTTCCTCCACCAGAATGGCTCTCCTCCACCCCCACCCCAAATCTGCAGACACCTACATTCTTGGCTCCTGTGTTCCTCCTACAGGCTTCCTTGCCTTCTCTTGCCCTTCTCAAATGCACCCTAAGAAAGTTGAGCTCTCTAGTCTTCCTCACTTGTGTTAAGAGACATAAATCTTGCAGAGCTAAGAGAAACAAACAGGTTTGTTCTGCATAGTAATAATAGTAGCTATCCGCCATCTCTTGTGCCAGTGCACTTAAACCTAGGCCATTTTGCTAGTTCCTCACATCTTCTTAGAAGTGCAAATGTCCTCATCACCTCCTAGTCCCTTCTGTCTAGCTAGTGAGAATCTTAACAGAAACTTCATGAAGTTCCTATAGCTCCTCTGTTCCTCCCCCTGCAAGATGTTCTGGGATTTTGAAATAATCACTCACCTCTTGTTGTCTGGTTTCAAAAAAAAAAAAAAAAGTAAGGAAAGAAAAGAAAAAAAGAGGGAAAAATATACAAATGAAAGGTCTGGCCCTCTCCTCTAACGGTTGCAAAGTGGGCCTGGAGATTTGGGAAAGAGAGGAGGAATAGAGAGAGTTCGAGGGGGAGAGAGCAGAAGCAGACTGGGCGCCTCAGGAGGAGGGAGCCAGACTGAGAGGGCTGAGGCGGGAGCCCAGCCACCAGCCCCAGAGGAGTACAACTACTTACAAAAAAGTCCTCTCGTTCCCACTGTGAAAGAAGGCGGAGGGGCACCCTGCACCCCACCCCCTGGCCAGGCCAGTGCTTTGGGCTGGGGCCTCCCTCCCGAGGCTACTTCTTAATTAGCATAATGGCTTACTAGTGGGGTGTGGGGGAGCTGTGAACTCCACCGCCTCGCCTTTGCTCTCCCCTTCTTCCCCTGCCAAAATCCCAATTAAAACATTTACCTGTTCTTAAACCAAAACCAAAACCAAACCTCTACCTTCTTTCCCGTTCCTTTTTTTTGGGGGGGGGATTTAAAAATGCCCCCCTCCCCCAACGCTACCATCACCTTCCCTCCTTATCAGGCATCTAAGCTTGCTCAAGGGGGAGAGGTGGGGGTGTGTGTGAGCTTGTGTGTGAGTGAGTGAGTGTGTGTGTGTCTGTGGTTTTTTTTCCCTGTGCAAAAGCAGAGGCCATTGTTACGGAGAGTAGGGCGTACCAGTCTTATAGGGCAACCGCACTGTGGCGGCTTGGCCGCCGGAGCCGGAGCTGCATTCTCGGCGAGCTGAGCCTCCCGAGCACCTTTCGGGCTTCTTCTATTTTTTTTCCCGCTCCCCCACCCCCTCCCTCCTGCGCACCCCCGCTCCTAAGTCGAGTGAATTGAAGCGGACGCCGCGCGGCTCCTCCGGCCGGTCTGCCCCTCGGGCTCCCCAGCCCGGGTGGCTATTGGGGGGGGGGCGACGCAGCTTTAAACAGTGGTCTTTTTTTCCTTTGCCTTCAAGGAGGGGAGATTTCTCGCCTGCCGCTCGCGCTGGGGCTCGATGTGAATATATATTATGTCTGCCTGTTCTCCCCTCGTCGGTGGCTAAGGTAAGCTGGACTGAAATAGGCTATCAGTTTGTGAATGGCGGAGAGTATGTCTCAATGATTTATGGCCCATATGACTCCAATCTCGGTTCAAGAAGAGTTCACAAGCTTTAAGCTTCCTTCCACGCAGCGTCTCTCTCTCTCTCTCTCTCTCTCTCTCTCTCTCTCTCTCTCTC